GAGGGAGGGGGGTGTGAGACGGGCGGGCGGGGGGAGGGAGGCGGGGGCCGCGGTGTTGGTCATGAAGACGGGGTGGGAGCGCGTGGCCGGGTGGGGGGGCGCGGCCGGGTGGCTGGAGCAGAAGGGACGACTTTGTCGGAACGTCAGCCAGCGCCCTCCGTGTTCAGGGTTGGACAACCACGGACGCCGACACCCGTTGTCGACGTTTAGCCGTATGGATATTTCTCACGTGTCCCGACAGGTTCAGATTTGAATCGAGCATGCCCAAATGGTCGTGAGGTTGTACCCGTAGTCGATATGCACCCTGTAGAACGTCGCATGTGGTTCGTAGGCTATGCGACGGTGATTTTAGGGCGTGCCAGCACCGGGGGGGCAAGATGCACAGGTTTTGAACCCAACCCGGGGATGTCATCATTTTGTCCCCGGGTGACCTGTGTGTGTGTGTTTTTTTTTTGTTTTTGCGACAGATGTTTTTCACTCATGCTTACAGGTTCCCTCAGAAGCACTCGTCGCGGGGGTGAAAAGGTGTTTTGAAACTACAGTTGTTTTCGGCGTTACTTCGTAAACAACATATTCGCCTGATTGAGAGCGTAGCATCTGATTGAGAGCGAGATTGCGCGATACGCTGTAGCCGGACTACCACTGAGAGGTGGAGCTTGCTGTGTAGCTTGAATTGAAGGGCTAGCCCGTAGCTTCAAGCCGCTACCCTGGTCATCCTGTGGGAGTCTCTCGTTGTGGAGCTACAGCGGGGAGCAGAAGCTACAGCAGAGCCCACCGCCCGACGCGATACCGCCCTGAAACAGTTTGAGCAGAAATAGCCAATCTGGGCAAATCTAGCAACTTGTCTAGCTCCTCGCTGCAGCATCCGATGACGATGACACGCATATGCTCGCGAAGCTGCTGATGAGACCTTCAATTTGCACCGCTTCTTGGAATAGCCCGTCCCCTACTTGCCAAGAAATGGCAAGAGGCGTCTGGACCCGAAATTTCAATTTTTTTGGCTCTCGCTCTCAATCAGATGCTACGCTCTCAATCAGGCGAATATGTTGTTCGTACCGTACGTAGCGGCAAGCCTAAATTCGGGAAAAAGTATCCTAATATGACCTTTAATATATCATCAGGTGTGCTCCAATGGGCGTGGAATTGTACGTACAGCCGAATCATACCCTGTAGAACGTCGTGTGGTTCGTACCCTATTTGATGGTGACGTTCGTGCGTTCCTGTACCGGGGGGGGGAGGGATGCACAGGTTGCGACCGAAAACCCGGGGACGCGGTGGTTATGTCCCCGGGGTGGCTTTGTTTTTGCTTCTGAACATGTTTCTCACTCATGTTTGAAGATCCCCTCCAAAGTTTTTGTCGTGGGGATGAATGAGTATTCTCAATGGTAGATACAGTTTGGCGGTGTTCGGCGTGATTTGTTACCGTTAGCGGCATGCGAAATCAGGAAAAAGTGCCCATATTTGACCAAGCACCATTTTTTACGTAGACAACTCATTTCGCCCTGATTTTTTTTTTCGAGTGTCTGCTGAGTGGAATAACACATTTATGCACCAAACTGGTTGTTCTGCCTCGTTTCGAACGCACAGAGCATGCAGTACAGGTCAAGGAGGGGAAAACCCATCCCTACCACCCATGGGGATCGAGGAGATTGCAGTAGTGGACCAGTACACATACCTCGGAGTAGAGAAAGACTGCTCGTGGAATGCACACACGTCCAAGGTAGCCGAAATAGGCAAAGCACGAGCAGGGAAGCTGCACCCAATACTCGCAAACCGGCACCTTGATACACGCATCAAATTGACGGTTTTGAATAGCGTAATCGTACCGCCGCTAGAGTACGCCGGAGAAGTATGGGAAGGAAATAAGAAGAAGAAGAAGAAGAAGGTAGTGAAAGAACTCGAGGCGGCGCAGATGCAAGCAGCGAAAACCGTCCTAGGATGCTCCAGGCGCACAAGTAATGCAGCCGTGAGGGCAGAATTGGGGATCCAATCCCTACGGTCGGCAAGAGACGCGAGGAAGCTGACCTGGCAGTATCGCATGTGCGGGATGGGAGAGGAGAGGTTGCCGAGAATTGTATGGGAGGCGAAGTGGGCAAATAAAAAGAGGGGTAGACAACCCACGGA